CCCTGTGAAATGGTCGCTTGACGCCAAAGGGGTCGCAACGCACAGGTTGAGATTGCTGCTATAGATTATCTTAGTTCTGTCACTGTTACAGGGCCACGACTCACAAGCAGGGGTGGGTGATTAAGCCTTGTTTAAATGTGCAATAAGAGTGAAAAGGACCTATTGCACGCCTTAGAGCGTATTTAACATGGGGGACTAGACTTATATTTGTTAGACTATTCAACACTCGATGGATCATGTGGCCAATACCACACCAGGCGAATTTACTTCTCATGAATTATCTGGTGCGTATTTAGGGCTGGGAAGACCAGGGAGCCAAAGTCGTTTTCGAAAAGTTCAGCTTTGTCAAGACCTGAATCCACAGTAATAATACAATATTCTTGAATAACTGCTGTGTTGTAACGTTTATTATCACCTCTGACCTAAAAATGTCTCTCATATACTGAATGGCATTTTCTATTAAGAACATTTTTTTTAATGAAATGAAGTATACTATGCCCTTTAACATCTGCTAAAGTCAAAGTGTCTGTCTCGCAACACCAAGATCAAAATATATAAAACGTTGATAAGACCACTCGTGTTATATGGCTCTCAAACTTGGAGCACAACTACTAGAGATGAAGCCTTATTACAGGTTTTCTAAAACAGAGTCTTACGACGAATCTTTGGACCCATCAAAGATGCAAACAGCGATGAATGGAGAGTGAGGAGCATCAAATTCATAATCTGTTTAAATCACCACTGGTCACTGGCATCATGAGAGCTAATAGACTGAAGTGGTTGTGACACATTGAATGAATGTCAGATGACAGAGAAGTAAAAACTGAATACACCAAGGAGATGAATGGTCGTAGACCACGAGGGAAACCAAGAAGACGATGGAGAGATAATATCCAGACATATGATGGCGAACGAAAGAACAACATGGCTTGAGTTGGTTGAAGGCATTTGCTCCATGTGGGTTAAAAAGCAGAAGAAGGAGATATATACAGGCAGTATCAATAAAACATATGGATACCATTAAGGTGTTACTCAATTGTTAATGAATACATCTGCAATTCTTTCATTGCAGTGGCTGGTTGCCGGTTTGAAGCAGAAAGGACATGAAGTAAAACTGGTGGCCACAGTCAGTACCCCGACAGGGATTCTTCAGTTGACCCCAGGACGAATATACGCCGACGCCCCTGGATTTATTGTGGACGGGTACTAGGATTGATCTCTTTCATTCCACACTGCACCATTTTCAGTCAGAATCTTCCAGAAGTGTTGAATTTATCAACAAAGTTCAAGTCAAAATCGAGAGGGTCAGTTACATCGTGTCTGGTTGTATACGAAGGAATTCCAGTGAAATGTGACTAAAATGCCTAACGAAACGGAAGCAGAAAAAAAAAAAAAAAAACAACGTTTCGGCTTGTGGCCTTTCTTGAACAAGTAATGAACTACACAACAGTAACAAATATACCCAACTGAACAAAGGGAAATACCAATGGCATGGTTTGTATCCCACACGGCATCTCTTACCCAACCACCCGTCAAACAAAGCACGAACTACGTAGCTTTGGTGACGATCCGTGAATGTGTCAACAGAAACGAAGAGAATTTCATCGCATATGCGGAGAACTTGAATATGTGGATCATGCAAAGAATAACGACCAGACAGTCAATTATTCAGTCAATCCACTCCAGAGCTAAGTGTCTCTTGTCCTAAGACTACTCTTGGTCCGATTTTTTTTTTATTTGGGGGGGGGGGGGGGGGGGGGGAGGGTTAATTTTTTTTTTTATTTTACTGTTTACCTCTCATTTATAAAAACGCGATAAGATCATACCATATACTTAATAACACGTTAGAATTATTAACAAACACTCCCTAACAGTCTTGTTGTTGCTTTTGTTATTTTCATGCTGTTATAGAGAAAGAATGTGGTGTTATGTAAGGCATATTTTAGGACGTATCGGACAAAGTAACGAAACAGGCCATTTAAGTCGTATCAGGTTGTTCTCTCTGCGATGCTGCCTAAAGACCTACAACCCTACAATAATAATAAAAAAATAAAATATACAAAAAATAATGTATGTATGCCCTGTTTAACCTCTCATAATCATCAACAATTGTTAGCGATGTTTTTTTTTTGTTTTAATGCAGAACGTCGCATTCGGCTCGGCACGTCACAGTCTGCGTTCGCTAGCCCATTTTCCAGCCCTATGTGCTTTAATAGCAGAATGAGTCTTCAGGTGTATTTTATCCACCTTCACAGCGGCAAACTTCTGTCTCGTTTTCCAAAATCCGTACCCTCCATCTGCTTTCTTCCCCAAGACGTTTGACGTGGTAAATTGACACCAGAAAACCCAGTACTTAAATTTACATTAAAGCAATTAGACATCTCAATTAAATGAAAAAAAAAAAAAAAAACCAAATGATGGTACAATAGAAAACACATAACCAATCAGATCCAAACATGCGCAGTGTGACGGGCACAACCTGGCCGGCCAGAACAGACACAGAAGACACACAATAGTACCACCAAATACTGCCAAGTTAATAGCAACACAATTTGCTGCCATAAATGTAACGATATTGACAAGAATGAGGCTAACTCCTTAGCCAGATGTGAACGTGGCAACATGAAATCGAACAAACTAAATCGTCCACAACAGCCATCCCCCTCCCCCACCCCATTTTTTTTCAACAGCCCACACAGGGTACTAGAGTACCGATCTAAGCCACTCGTTTTGGTTCAATTGACACTTCTTGGGCAAGATACTAAACCCACAAAAAAAAACAAACCACAATTATAGACGAGATCGCTGGCAGTAGGTTGAACATGGTCGATTTTTGTGTTTTGTTTTCATCACTACCGACTTTATTTATAGGCCAAATAGGTCAACGGGGATTCCCGACCTTGTGCAAGTCGGGAGGCTGATGTGTGTTCACAATTTTTATTGCAGAGATACATACGCAAATAATCTACAGTTAAATTTATTTGCAAGACGTTTAATGAATTGGAATTATAATTTCGAAGATAAATAAGTGTGCTATTAGAAAATATAAAAGTAATAAAAATAATTAGAAAATATAATAACAATAACAATTGTAATAAATACACGAAGCTACAAGTAAAGATGATTGTTAAATGAGTAAGGGGGAATAGCCTGCTGTAGAGAGCTACAGGGAAGAAATAAACCATTAGACAATACATTATAAGAACAGATGTTAGAGAAGACTAAAAAGGCTGAAGCTTTTTTTTAGAATCCCCATATGCTCTCCCTTTTAGAAGCTGTAGTTGTAGTAGTGGATGCTTCAACCCAACTGAAAAAGGGTACCTCTTAATTACTTCTTTTCATGACGATTCAAATCGCACAATCATTGCCCCATGTATACTGTCTATCATTCTCTAGACCCAATGCAGCACATCCATACACACACACATACACACACACACAACACACAAAGAATCATTACTGTTTATCTTTGACTAGATCGTTTTATTCACGTTAAACATGGTGTTGTAAAAATTGACATAGTAAAAATCTAGATTTAATTATTCTCGTAGCACCTTTCAAAGTAAAGTCATTTTTAAAAACTTTTATTGAGGTAGTAAAATCGAAACTCAAATTACGTACATGCAGTTTACTTAGTGAAATGGAATTTGCATATTGATAATGTACCATTAAGACATTAGGAAGCAAGCACTTTATATAGTAAAACTGCTACCTAACATTTCAGTTGACGAAACATAATCATGACATAAATCATCTACAAGAGAAAATTAACAATTTAAAATTACTGAAAACAATCTGAACTGGTAAAATTAAACTACACATTTCCAAAATTTACTTCGAAAAGTGAAAAATATTATCGGAAACTTCAAATTTAGTGGCAAAATCAGTACTTTATTTTTTTTTCACCTCAAACGAAATTCAGGAGTTCCCGGAAAGTATAATATTCTAGGGGTGCCAAGGGTTGGGGTTATGGTTAGTTTTGGGTTAGGGTTAGGGTAATAGAGTGTTTTTGAGATGGGAAGGGCTAACAAAGATAATAACCCTAACCCCAACACCTAGAATATTAGACCTTTGTAGGAACTCCGGGATTATCTTTGTTTGAGGAGAGAATTGAAAAAAAAAAAAAAAAAGTACCTAAAATCTGTATACTATTTTGAATTTGCAGTTCACGTCGTAGAAGGACTCTATGAAACCACGAAAAGCATAGTAAATCAATATATCACCTATCGATTAGCAGCAAAGTAAATGCAGACTTATAATACGAAGTACAAAATAAGGTGAAATATCCAAATATCTTTTGAGGTCAGCCCAGCCCAAAAATGCGTACCAGGTAATTTCCTGGGAAGTAAAGGCGGTCAGTAGGATGCTGGCCACGTCATTAACGTGTCAAGGTATATTGGGGGGTGGGGGGGGGGATCAATGACACAGAAGGTCTTCCTGAGGTAATCGATTGGTATAACCAAAAACAGTGAAATATCTCAAGAGCGTACACGAGGTGGGTATAGGCTCTATAAAGTGATGGTTTTAGGAAACGATTTTTTAAATATCTGACACTGTGCGAATCGACTTTATTTCCACAGGTTTTAACCTAGATGGCTTAGTCTCTCTCAACATAGTAGCTTCAGATATTCCGAGAGCGAACATAAATAACAAATTCCATACCGCCGACGACGATCGCACGGTGATTCCCCCCCCCCCCCCCCCCCCCCCCCCCCCCCCCCCCCCCCCCCAAAAAAAAAAAAAAAAAAAAAAAAAAACAAATCCCCTGAAACAAACTACGATGCCCGAAAAAAAAAAAAAAAAACCAACGGCCTTCAAAACTCCCGGAAAAAGGCTTACAGGCCTATCTCACCCCCTCCCCCTCCTAAGTCAACAGCAATTATGAGAACCTATGTGTAATCGGCAAGTGCAGTACCGTTAAGCATAGGCACTCCTGACTCGTCATATCACTCGACCAACAGAAGCATCTAGAAAGCATGTATCTTCTTCCGCCCCATTTATTTATTCCATGATCTCCCCTTGCTCTGTTTCAGTTCATTTCGCCAGTTCTAACAAAGTTTTCGTGTTATTCCTTCGCATAATAGGTGTCAACAACAACAAATACTTTTAAGTTATTTATTGTTCCAGTCTTTACTGGGGGTATCCATGGTGAAGTGGTCAAGCCCTTTGCCTTGAGCTCTGTAGCTCGTGGGTTCGTTGAACGGCGGTGCCGTTCTGTTCACCAATGAAATTTTAACGGAGATCCCTGAGATTATCGCCGGAGTTCGGAAGACGTGCTTTGAGCGACGCTCTCGGCAGGTTGCTAGCTGTTCTGCTGAAAGAGAGTGAGCCATATGGGATACAAACCCGTGCAATAAAGTCGATCACTCACCTTTATCTTTGTTCCACTCTAGGGTTGCAAACTGATAAACTAATACCATGTGACCCAAAATATAAAACAGTTACACTTAAACAGGAAAAAAAAAAAACCGTACTAAAATTTAGCTAGGGATGCCCGAAACAATCACAATACTGACTTTCTACGACTAATATCTCTTAATTAACAAGCTCGTTGTTTCCGTCTGTTTATATGTGAGAATAATCACCAGAAACCATCTGAAATTACACCTGGGGTGGTAATGTATGACCTTTACTACATGCAACGCCTGGACTCAAACCCACGATCTTCTGGTCTACTGGCGAGCGTCTAGCCGCTACACCACAGTGGCTCATAGTTATATCAGAGCTTATTCATGCTTCGTGACATTTCACCCGCGCTGATGTATGTTAGAGGGATGCTATGTTGTGTTGTCTTCGCGAATAATGCCACTTGTAGTGTCACCGCTTAATTTTAAAAGTTTTGAAACCACGGAACGTAGGCTGTAGTCTCTAAACGGGCTTAGGGTGAGGCTGTTGAGTATAGGGGCGTTGGAGTTAGGGCCAGTTGTAGATGTTGCGGGGTTGTTGAAAGCTGCCTAATGGTGTGATTTAAAACACTCGTCATCGTCTGTTAGAGCGTCCAAGACAACACAACTGTGACATAAAGTAGCGCGTGTGAAAGATAAGCAATCATGAATGAACGGCTAATCACAGTGTGCCTAAGGCGGAAATCATTATTTGTACCGAGCTCAAAATAAATTATAGTCTACTTTGGGTGGGGTCGCCTGTGATAATTGATTTTGCACGGCTTCTATTTATAATCAGTGGATGGTTCCTGTCTGATTTAGGTAA